CCTACAGCCTCCTGCCCATGCAGGACATGGAATCCAGTTAATACAGAGCATGGAAGACACCTTCCAGGGGCACAAAGCACGGTGGAGAGTGGACTGGGAGAGGCAGGGAGACTATCCTGCATCCCTCTGCGAAGTTACTATGCTCCTCAATCGTGAAACACAGTAACTCTAATCTATAAGGACTTCAGGAAGGTGTTTCAAACAATTTCTCAGGAACTCCTTTTGGGCAATATGGAGAAATATGGCCTAGAAGCAAAAATAACTATATGGATCAATAATAGATTAAACAACTATATCCAAAGTCTACTGAAAACTAGATAACCATAAACCTGGAGTTGTTTGTATACCCCAGTCCCTTCACGCCATCCTAGCCAGTCAGCATTCTTACTACTGACTTGTAGATCTGAAGGAATCCTATCCAAGCATGGTTTACAGATCACTGGTTTACAGTGACTAACCAGGATGAAAGAATTAGAATCCAAAAAGGTCTTGACAGGCTGTCGCAATGGGATAAAAAGATCTTGGCCAGCTGAAGCAATCAAATACATCTAATAGTAGTAAATCCTGGGATTTGCTCTCTAGTTCAAAAAGCCAGTGGCGCAGGTTTGGGACAGGGAACACAATACTAATGACTCAGGCAGTTTAGTGGAAGGTAAAGTCAATGTGAGTCATGAGTGTGGTAGATCCTCCAGAAAAACAGATTAGGGTTTAGGCAGCATTAACTGAACAAAGCAGGTGATAATCCAAACCTGGGATTGTGTTGATCAAACCACACCTAGAACTGGGTTTTATTCTGAATGTCATGTATGACTTGTGATGTATTCTGAAAAGAGTAACTAGAATAGGAAAAGAGACTTATGAAGCAGGACATAGACAAGAGGTAATCTGGCTTTAATAACTGATGTAAATGACAATTTGAATGTGGTAGTTTTGAGATTACTGCTCAATCAGCAGACAAAAGAAGAGCAAAGGACAAAGATGAGATCAAAGATATATGTGAGGGAATGTGGGCAACTCTTGCTTCCTTAGTTCCTCCCCCTGAACTTGCAGAGTTAAGAATCCACCCAGCCAGAGGACCCTAGAAGCAAAAGTTCACTGCCTTTTGGAAGGGAAGGGGGTCATTTTTCCACAGGAATCCACTCTATGACCGCATACAGAAATTCTTCCTAGGCCTATTTGAAGACAGAGCCATGCACTAACATAGAACAGAAATTATTTCTTAGTAGTAATAACTGAAAAGATTGTGAGCCTATAATAAGAGACCATTAAGGAGAGTAATAGTATCCAAATTATATCCAAATATACTAAAGACTGCCATATGGAAGAATTATTATCGTTGTCTTTTACTAGCTCAAAGAATAAAACAGGATCATTTAAAAGAAAGTCAGCCAGCTGTTTTTAATGGTCCAATTCTGAGAGGAAAAAATGGATTGTCGTGGGAAGCACAAGGTTCCCCACAACTAAACATGAATGACATAGTGGCATAGTCTAGAGGACTTGCCAGCAGACGTGATTTAGGCAATTCCAGCATTAGATGGGTATTTAAAGTAGTATTTTAAGATCACTTCCAAAGCTGAGCTTCCATAGTTCACTTTTTCTTTCATTCAATAAGTATTTATTGAGTATCAGCCACATACCCAATATGGCCCTAAGAACTAAGGGTACAACAACAGATAGAAATATGCCATTTCCTCATGGAGCTTAAATCCTGATGAGATAGGTAGACAATAAAAAAGTAATTAATAAAAAGTCAGGGAGTAGTGGTAAGTGTTGTAAAGAAAAAGCAGGGTAAGGAGCTCAGGTGATGTAGGAAAGGAAAGGAGGTATGGATATGATGGTCAGGAAAGGCCTCTCCAACCAATGTGCTCATCTCTTTATCATATTAAGCTTCTCTAAATCTTCGATACTTGTCTCTTTTTAAGGCTGTTATCATTTTTCTTCCTTATATAAATTACCCTCCATCTGGCTTAATCTTTAACTCCTAAACCCAGAATAACCTTAAATTTTAAAACCAGAAGGACTTAGGAGTGAATCTACCATAGTGGAATTTAAAAAGAGAATGTGCCTAATGCTATTAATTTCATTTAGAACCATTATATGGATATCTTCATATATCTTGTATATAGGACACTTCTCTTTCCCCACCACCTAATACCTTATAATATTTGGGCTCAGAGCTGTCTTTCTAAATCTCAGATTCTTTCTTTCAGGAGAAAACACAAAACTTATTGACCTTTGCCTCTTGCTCATCTCAAGAAAGTTTTTTATTGTTTTTTTTTTATCTCCCCTTCATCTGTGCCATTATCTTTATTTAATAAATAAATAAAAATTCTCAATATATTTATTGGAAATTTTAATTTTATGACATAGGAAGAATCACGATACTTTGATGCCAACCTCTAATCAAATCTACAGACGAAGGAAGTTTAGAAAATAAAGCAGTGTTATATTCTAAATTTCAAAGCTTAAGAGGACAGAACTGGACTACAGACCCAAATTAGATTCACGCAAACAAAATAACTTTTCTTTCTTCTCTTCTTCCTTCTTCCCTTCCTTCCATCCTTCCTTCTTTTAACTATTTTTTTCCCCTCACTGGAGTATATGTTTTTATTGATTTTAGAGAGAGAGGAAGGGGGGGAAAGAGAGAGAGAGAAACACTGATGTAAGAGAGAAACATCAATCAGCTGCCTCCCATACATGCCCTGACCAGGGATCCAACCAACAACCAAGGTATGCGCCCTGACTGGGAATCGAACTGTAACCTTGGTGTGTGGAATGACACTCCAACCAACCGAGCAACCCAGCCAGGGCTTAACTAATATATTTATGTAGCTGAAGCACAGGGCAATACTTGGAGGATTAGAGGGTTGAAAAGATGACCAGGATAAGAAACAGTTTTCTGTTAATATAATGCGCTAACAAGTTGTTTTAACTTTCTAATCATAGATTCAGAGAGTCATACACTGTAATGAGGTGAAAATTACTTTAGTGATCATTTACTTTTCCTGCTACCCACGCTGCCAACACCATCTTACAGAAGCAGCGTTAGCGAGGTGAAATCAACTGTGCAAGACCACACAACTTACTTCCACAATAACATAATTAAAAGGACGGCACTTGAACAGCAGAACAAACACAATTCTCAACTTGCCTCTTGCTCCTGATAACACTGAAATTATAGGAAAATTTAGCAGTATTGAAACACACACAAAAAAGAGATTCTGATAACAGTTTAAGAAAATACTAGAAGAGATCAAGTAGACAGGGTGTGATCACTGGAGAAATCACAGCAGGAAACTATGGCCTCAAATGCCGAGTAGAAGGTAGAAGGGGGTCTGCTTTTCCAAGGGATTCTCAAAGATTCTCCATGCTCAGAATTAACAATTAGAAAAAGAAAAACTAGATTGCACACAAATGTCAGAGTAATTAAACAATCACACTGGAAAGTACCAACAGGAAGTTAGAGAGAGGCTGGAAGTAAAGGTTGGAGGTTTGGTTGGAGAGAATTCATTAGCATGGTCTAATTCAAGACTCAGATTCAAGGTTACGCCCTTTTCATATATCCATATCCAAGGAAGGAGACAAGGCTCTATACAACCAGAAAGGTCATGCCCAGGCTACTCATATCTACATCCTAAAGAAGTAAACTGGCCATTGATGGTGGGAATATAGAATGAGCCTCTCTGGAAAATAGTCTGGGCATTTCTTAAAGCACTACATTTGCAACCATTATACAACCCAGCAGTCATAGTACCAGGCTTATCCCGGAGAAATGAAAACCTGCAGGTTCTCACAAAAACCTGTACTGAAATGTTCACAGAGGCGAGATGGGTAATAGCCAAAAACTGCGGACAACCCCAACAATGGCCTGTTAAAGGGCAAATGGCTAACCTGACTGTGGTGCATCATGCCACAGAATCGGGCTCAGCAAATGAAAAGCGAACAGAGCCTTGACACGTTTGTGCCCCTGAGAAACTCACTCCTTAATGCAGAAAAAAGGTGGGTTGGGTTTATAAAGTGGACACGCTGCTGGATGAATCCCCAGCGACCCTGGACGAATTTCCAAAGAATGATGCTGAGAGAGAGAAGTGAATCCCCCAAGGGTATGTACAGGACAATTCCCATTTATATAGAATTCCCCAAATGGCAGAATTCTGGACTGGGGAGCGGCTTAGCGGTTGCCAGGCATTACGGTAGTGGGGCAGGAGGGAGGAGAGTAGCGAGGAAAGGGCACGGAAAGGATCCTGCAGGGAGGAAATGGTGTGTATGTTGCCTACGCCGAGGTCAGCATCCTGGGCGTGACACTGTGCTACAGTTTTCCACGATGTTATCCACGGGGGAAGTGGGTAAACGGTATACGGGAGTCTCTGTGTATTATTTCTTCCAAGTGGATAAGAATCCACGATGAGACGACAATAAATAAGTAAAAGAAAAAAGAAACAAAGAGTTGAACCATGTGGTACTTGCACATACTCTACCAATCACAGCGTGGGCATCCTGGCTACAGATCAGTCCCCAGTGGGGTCCTCCCTTTGGAATTTGCATGCCCCCCGCCCCCAGCGGGGCCATTCCCCAAATGCCGCAAGTACAGGAAGGTGGCTCAGGAGCACCAAGACGGCAATGAAGAAATTAAGAAATTCTTTAGCGTACTTACACACGGTGCTCGCCGGGCTGCCGGAGAGCAGGCCACGCGCCCGCCGTGCGCCAACCAGAGCGCGCGCTCGCCGTCCCTCCGCGCGGGCAGGTGCCCGGGGCTCTGCGCCTCCGCTCCGCCAGGTGGAGCTCAGCCCCGCACGGCGCCTCTGGGGTTCAGAGGTCACGCACGTACGGGGGTCCAAATCCTCTCCGGCTGAGGAGGACTTGGGACGGCGCCTCCTTCCCCCGCGCCAGGCGGAGCTCCACCCAACCCACACCCGCTGCCCTCGGTGCAGGGCGCTTCCGCCCCACCTGAGCTCCCTTCCCACTTGCCCCGAGCAAAGGCGAGGCTGGGCCACCGCCCGCGCCAGCTGCGCCCCATGGCCCACCTGCGCTCCTGCGAAGTCCGGCAGCTGCTGCACAACAAGTTCGTGGTCATCATGGGGGACTCGGTGCAGAGGGCCGTGTACAAGGACCTGGTGGTCCTGCTGCAGAAGGACAGCCTGCTGTCCACCAGCCAGCTGAAGGCCAAGGGTGAGCTGACTTTCGAGGGGGACATCTTGCTGGAGGGCGGCCGGTGGGGCCGCATGCACAATGGCACCCACTACCGCGAGGTCCGCCAGTTCCGCTCGGCCCACCACCTGCTGCGCTTCTACTTCCTCACCCGCGTCTTCTCCCCGTACGTCGTGGAGGTCCTGGAGGACCTGCGGCGGGGCCAGCACGCCCCGGACCTGGTGGTCATCAACTCCTGCCTCTGGGACCTCTCGCGCTACGGCGCGGATTTCCGAAGAGGCTACCGCGAGGACCTGGGGAGCCTGTTCGGGCTCCTGGGCCGCGCGCTGCCCGAGCCCTGCCTCCTGGTGTGGAACACCGCCATGCCGGTGGCCGAGGTCGTCTCGGGCGGCTTCCTGCTGCCCGAGCACCAGCACCGGGGGGCGCACCTGCGGCTGGACGTGATGGAGGCCAACTTCTACAGCTCCGTGGAGGCCAGCCGGCACGGCTTCGACGTGCTCGACCTGCACTTCCACTTCCGCCACGCGGCGCGGCACCGGCAGCGGGACGGCGTGCACTGGGACCAGCGCGCGCACCGCCACCTCTCGCAGCTGCTGCTGGCGCACGTGGC